TGTTTGGGAGAGGAAATTCCAAGGCAGGATGGTGTTCGTGTCTAAGAGATCAGCACTGTCTGCACTGCACTGGGGCAGTGGGAAGGGCTGCCCTGAGGCAGGATTCCACCCCTCAGAGATTAAATTTAGTTTTATAAATTTTTAATTTGAATTTCTGTGTATTTTATACAGAACATCATACATAAACTTAATCATCTTTATACCCTCTGACCCACTGGCATCTTCTGGTAGCCCCTCACCCCACTGGAATTCATGTATTCTGTCATTTGTATTAACATCTATTATGTCACATTAGTGTCCCCAGAGCTCCCTCACTGCAAATTAATTACTGGAGTCTAGGCAGCCTATCTAAAGTCCTTCCATTTAAGAAGATCAGCTCTTCCTCATCCAGGAGTAATCACTTGCCAATAATTCTTCTATTAAGATTGAGGTCACTGCCCATTTCCACAGTTCTGTGCTGGGGTTTTGTCTGCTTGAGTTTGCACAGGTCTTGGGCATGCTGACTCCATTGCTGTAGGTTCATATGAGCAAGGTCCCAGGAGCTTGTAGGACTCTATTTATATAATGGTCTTGAACCTCTTCTCTGACTGTTACAATCTTTTTGCCCCTCTTTCTGCAATGGTCCCTGAGCCCTGGGTGGGTAGAGTTTAATACAGGAGTCCAGTTCAAGAACCCACACTCTGTAGACTCTTATTCTCCACGCTTTGGCCATTGTGACCTTTTGTGTTCCTGACCCCCCGTCACATGAAGGAGCTTCATTAATGAGAACTGAGAACTGAGAGATGCATAGTGTCCTCTTTACCACTTGTTCTATGTTCTAGGAGCCTTAGGAGTAGAGGTTGCATCATAGATGTGCCGCTTAGGCTTGGGCAATTCACAATGTCTGTATGTGGCCGGTTGTGGAACTCTGCAATAGCAGAGATTCACTTTTATGAAGGCCCAAATTTATTCAAAAGATGAAAGCCTGAACTGGTGAGATCAGGCATATTCAGGGTGTTATAGCTATGGAGCAGCCTGAACTGACCATGGAAGAAGGCTTGGAACTGAAGGGATGGAATGATGAGGAGCTGTGCATTGGGATGCTGTCTTCTAGATCTGATGTGGACATGACAGTTATGAACACACAGCAGCTGTGACTGCCTGCACAGGTCCTAAAACAAAAGAAAGACAGATAGAGGGAGGTAAGGAGTAACTAGAGGGTAGGAGGGGGATTATTGGGAAGAATAAGGGGGCTTCAGGAGTCGGAAGGCAATGAGAAAGGGTGATGGGGTGTATAATCAAGTACATTGCATGCAAGTATATTGTCAAAATTAAAAAAAAATAGGGCTGGAGGGATGGCTCAGTGGTTAAGAACACTGACTTCTTGCAGAAGACCCAGTTTCGAATCCCAGCACCCACATGGCAGCTAACAACTGTCTCTAACTCCAGTTCCAGGGGATCTGACAGCCTCTTCTGTTCTGCACAGGCATTGCAATTAAAATAATTGCCCCCCATTTTAAAAATTAAATAAAAAATGAACACATAAGAACACCAGGTTTGTGTGGTGTGGGTGGAGAAGGATAAAGGACAGTTTTCTGAGATAGAGGGATGGGCACTAGGGGAGGGGGAGGAGGACAAGACTTTACCTGGATACTGCTCTGAGACTCCAGCTGTGCTGGACCAGCCTCTCTGTGGAGCCAAGGTCTGGGGAGCTCAGCTGCCAATTTACCAGCTAGAGTGCTTGACCAGAAGGGAATCCAAGGAAATGGCCATGCATGGAGGCCTGCTGAGCTCTCCAGGATCCACATGCATGCTGAAAATGTCAATAGACACATAGATGGGTGTAGAAATGTCTATTCTCAAAATGGCATTCTTAAGTCTGAAATATATATCGCCCTCACCACACTATGGTAAAAGTAGCTCCTCTCAATAAAAACATTCACTGCAGACCTATTTATACTGAGAAACAGTTATCTACCGTGTTAACTGAAGAAGTATTGGCAGCTGATTACTGCTGGGTGGTGGAGAGAGTTGATCTTTAAGGGAGAGACTCTAGATAGGCTTGCTAGACCCCAGTGGGTGAACTTGCACTGAGGGATGTCTGGGTACACTACTTGACTCAATAGGCCTTGACATATATGACAGAATGCATGAAATTCAGTGGGAGGGAGGGAATGTATGGGGATACAGATGGGGGTTTAAAGACTATTAAGATGCTTTGTATGAAGTGAACAAAAGTTTAATAAAAATATACATTTAAAAGTTTTTAAGTAGATCTGAGAGAAAAATGTACCTTTGTCACATTCCTAGACCAACACAATTTCTTCCATTATGCTAAATATGCATCCTTATATTTACAAAGAAGTGCACCTTCCACCCCTCATCAAAGAAGGGTCTTTTTGCAACAGATGGAGACTATTAGAGTTCCAGAAGAGGTCAAACACAGAGAATAAGTGTCTGTGAGACGCTTAACTTTAAGTGACACGTTGTCAATGGAACTTCTACCCATAGGATGAGTGCGTTTCTCACCTCTCATCGGAGAAGCTTCCTTGTACAGCAGATGGTGGTTAACACAGAAACCCCCAGTTGGCCAAGGCACAGAGAATAAGGGGCCACAGGATGCTTATCTCCGAATAGAACATCTGTTTCAAACCTCTCCCTCCCAGTTCTCAGGGATCGTTAAGGAAGAGGAGGCAGAAAGTGTAAGAGCCAGAGGTGGTGGATGACCACAAGGAACCAGAGTCTTCCAGACAGCTGGTCAGTTACAGCATGCAGAAGTCCCATGCAAGCTCAAACCAGACAAAATCCCAGCATAGATATGGGGACGTGTGTAAGATATACCAACCCAACTGAGGGAATTTTTGGCAATTGATGGCTGCTGGGAGAGGGAGAGACAGTGTCTTACAGAGATGGGCTGACTCTTGGTGGGCTCAATGGATGGACCTGCACTGAAGGGCATTTAGAGAGGGATACAAATCAGATACTCTATAGACAGTATTACACACACATACACACACACACACACACACACACACATATATGAGTACATTAAATTAGGTGGGGGGAAGAGGTGGGAGATATGGATTGGGAAGGGGATCTAAATACCATCAAACTATATTGTATGAAAATTGCAAAAATTCAATAAAAAATACTTAACATCATTTACTCAAAAAATTTTATGTTTAATTTGCTGGTCTCTGCTAATTACACATTCATGGAAGCTTTGGGGCTCAAGAAAGCTCCCACTCCAGTGGAACAGATGTTTGGAGTCATACTATGCCCGTCCCACTGATGCTTTCTGAGTCTCGTGGGACATCAGGGAGCCTAGGAGCTAGCTAGAAGGAGCTGGGCGACCACAGTGACTAGAACAGTCTAAGAGCAAATGACTGATCCTTAGTTGCCATCAGGAGTATCCATTGTAATGCCGTCCACTGTCCAGACAGAGCCAACCTGGGGACAGGATGAAGGGGGTTTCAGGTGTTGTCTGGACAGGACTTCAGCAGGGTTGTAGGTAAGTATGTTAAATAGGTGAGCACAGTTACATCATCTATACTTCAAGAGAAGAGTTGGGGGTGGATCTATCAGATTATGAGCAGTTACTGGTGGTTGGATGTTTGTGAAATGACTGTTTCTGTGGAATGTATATGCTCCTGTTTCTATTTATGAATACCTTGTGTGTTTGTTTGAGACAGAGTCTTTCTAGTAGCTCCAACTGGCCTGGTATTCTCTCTGTAGACTAGGTTGGGACCTTAATTTCACAGAAATCCACTTGCCTCTGCCTCCTGAGTGCAGGGGTTAAAGGCATGGGCCACCACACCCAGCCTCATTACCATTTTGTAAGTTAATGATAGCCACTTTCACATCCTAGCTGATGTTTATAAAATGTCACAAAGAGAAACTGGGCAAATAGTGAAAGAAGATCTGCAAAACCAACAAATCCACCGGATGACACAAAACCTGAATTCACAGAGCCAACAGATGTCCTAACACCCTGTAGCTGTAGGCTGTAGTGTAAGATCACCTCCATTCAGCATCTCACCACTCAACCCTCAACTATGAGGGTTAAGACTGGCTGGGGGTCAAGGTCTCCAGCAGACACATGGTGAATGTGGGGAGATGATCTCTCCTCTGTCTCCTCATCCTCATGTCCTGGTCCATGACCATGTTCTGTATACCTGCAAATCATTTCCTCTTTGGGGGAAGCCAGAGGTTGTATGGAGTTAGGATCAGTCAACCTAAGTGAGTGATTAGTAGGTGTTAGAAGTGAAGGCAAGGAACAGATCCCTAGAGGAGATGCTGTGTGTGTGTGTGTGTGTGTGTGTGTGTGTGTATACAAATTTAAGAATTAGGCTCTGAAATCCAGAATGAAATTACCTGTATTGTCTTAATGCAAGAGACAACCTGCTTTAACATTGAAGTCAGAATTATAAACCAGTAAATTGATGTATTAGTTACTTATCTCTGTGACAAAATATTTGACAGAAGCAACTGAATGGAGGAAGGGTTTATTTTGACTCCTGGTTACAGGCGTTTCAGTCCATCACCATGGGGAAGGCAGGGAGAGGCACAGGGCTGAGTGTGCAGCGTGCGAATGAATTCCAGACCTACCGCTATTGTGGTTTCTCGTGTTTGTTGGTGTTTGTGGGGAAGGACCAGCCAGGACGAGGATGAAAAAGATATCCTCATTCCTTCTGGAAAACATTCCATACTTTAGAAAGCATGCCATTAATTATTTCAATCTTCTGGGTGAAGACTGAATTTTCTGCTCCTTTCCTTGTGTTTCTTATTTTTTCCTCATACTTCCTCTTATTTGATTGCAATTTTCCCTTTTTTCCGCATGAGCTGATTGTGTTTCTCAGCGTACTCTCCTTCTGCAGCTTGGCGTTCCTCCTCTCTTCGGTCAGTGTAAACTTTCCTCAAGGCCTCTACTTGTCCTTTCAGCTTCTCATCTGTGTCCTTGTGCAAGGGGTCAGAGAAGTAAGTCCCTGCATTGTCCTGCACCATCCTGTCTACCAGCTCTGCTAGCTCCCACACCCGAGCTTCCATCTCAGCTCGTCTGCTCTGCTGCTAATGGCCATGCAGCGGCCTCCACACTCTTTGATGAGGCCTTTTAGTTTATTATCTGCTTCTAGGAGGTCATGCAGAGTGTGATCCTCCAACTGTTCTCTGCGAGTGAACAACACAGTCATGTGCTTCACGGCTGCCTCCCCAAAGATAGCCTTGACTAAACCAAAACCCTTTTGCTCTTCCTCTGTGTAGCGGCCCAGCTGCATAACCAGGAGGATGGCGTGAGGCCCAGGCCAAGAGAAGAGGACACAGTGGCTGATCTCCATGTAGGTGTTTCCCAGACTCTTATCGGTATAGAACAGCCCTGGGGTGTCCACAACCCGGAGGCCTCTCCCCTTCCGCTTTCTGGATGCTCTCTGGCAGTACTTAGTGACAGTCCAGAGACCGCTTTTAGAAGCAAATCGTTGTTCCCCAAGGATGGTGTTTGCTGTGGCACTTTTCCCATTTCAATTTTCCCTACCAGAATGAGCCTCAGAGAATTGTCACCAGGCTCAGCCATGCCGAGGCAGAAGTTCTGGAGTTCAGGGTCTGCCTGTGGTTTCAAAGGGAAAAAGATGTTCAAATGAAACATAAAACACCCTGACTCTTCTGATCTTTGTTAAGATCCTGCAGATGTAAACCATCTAAGTCTTCTGACACAGTGAGATTTCTCCTTTAGAGTGCTCTCCTTGTGGGTACTGAGGACCCAGCTTCCGCTACGCTTCCTGCTGACTTCTCTGTGACAGAAGCAATGTTTACTATTTAAAATCTGATACTTTACTATCTTTACATTTTTGGGGAATTACATTTTGTTCTAGAACTGATACAACTTTGTTTTTATAAATTTTATTTATTATAAGCGTGTATGTGTATGTACAATGTGTCACAGCATAGATATGGAGGTCAGAGGGTAAATTTGAGCAGTCGTTCTCTCTTTTCAGTCGTATATGGGTTCTTGGGATCGAAATCAGGCCATCAGGCTTACACAGCAAGTGTTTTTACCTTCTGAGCCATCTTCCAGGCCCTCAACTTTGCTTCTGAGATATCAACACTGAGAGATAGCATTAGAAAGAATTACAATTCTACTCTAAGAAAGAGCAGTCAGTAGAAGATATTAGCAATCTGGCCATATGCAGTGGTGGAGGATTTACTGTATACCTTTTGCTGTTTGCTTTTGTTTTTAGAGACAGGAATCTTGTATTGCTTTGACTGTCCAAATATTTCTGGAGTGTTGGGATTACGTGTGTGTGTGTGTGTGTGTGTGTGTGTGTGTGTGCAATAGATGTAAAGTGAATCTTGATGCACACAGTTAATCCACTACATAGACTCTCAACATTTAGTAGGAGATGCAAAACTCTTTTAAATTTGTGTTATTTGGAGCAGAACTGGCTTCACATTCTCAAGCTGCACATTATTTTCAAATGTTCTAACATTTGGGAGAAATAGCAGATGTTCTGTGATCTTCAGTAACATGAAGTGTTTGAAGGCCATTGGGCTCAGAACTTCAGGACAGCCTCCTGCACGGAGGAGAAAATAGGGAAACTAGTGTCTGAACTTTAAATCACATATACATCCCCACATATTAATATAGCCTTGCAATGTTGACTCAGTGGATAAAGACTGAACAGTAAGCCTGAGAGAAACAAGAGAGTCATTCCCAAGCCTCCCATCAAAGTACACAGAGCCCTCCCCATAGTTTCCAGTAGAACTCCATTCAACCCACAGTGACTAGAGGGTCCCAATGTGATTCTGCTCCCAGGAGCCCAGGGAAGGAAGGAAGCTTCCAGATGTTGTCAATGGGACAAATAATAACTCTGAGCCTCAAAACTGACTGATTGGACCAATGAAGAAAATTGCACATGAATCTCACATATGAATATTAATGCTATATCCCAGAATATTAGAAAGATAGCCTCCTACAACTTTTAAATATATGGGCCCTCACAACAAAATGGGATTCATGTTAGAGAAGTGGAATCGATGGGGCTCAACAAGAGAAAAATTATTAATATAATCCACCAGCAACTGTTCATGTTAAGAATGTTCCATTAAGTATGACCTGGTGTGTGCTTTCCTGTCTGTTCAGTGCTTCTCTCTGTAGCTCTGTCAATCATCAGTTAGTGCCTTCTAATGCTGACTCTTCATCTTCTTTGTACTAAGCCCAAAGACAGTAAGCTATTAGTAGGAAAACATTTTTCCAGGAAAATCCTGATGTCTCCTCTTTCTCTGGACATTTGAAAATTTGCCAGTTTCAGTAGGAAAAAAAAACCCTCAATCAGAGGAGTAAGGAAAAATGTACAGTTGACTGTACATTGCAAAGCTCCAAAAAAGGAGCCACACAGAAATGTTGGGCTTTACATGGTTGTTTTTTTTCTTGTAGTTATATGAATTATCAATCTGTAGAACAGTATCAAACAAATGTAACTAATAATGAACAAGGAAGCCACAGACACAGAGGGAGGGCTGTAGGAGAGTGTGCTTACATGGTTGTGACCCATACAAAAGGAAGCCAGCCCAAATCTCTGCCTGGATGGGGAGGGCTTCATGAGGTCCTACCCCTAACTGTGGAACTATTGGTAACTGATAGTTTTGGGGAGAGGGAGAGGCTGCTGAGAGGCTGCTGATGTTCCAATGGAGGGGCCCTCACCCACGAACACATTGGCAGCACTAAGCGGACTCAGTGGGTTAAAAAAAAGAGTATGTGAAGCTGGGAGGGAAAAGTGGTGGGAGTAGAGGGAGGGGGTTAGAGAGGAGGGAATAGGGGTTGGATCTGTTCATTCAAAACATTGTATGTGTGTATGAAATCCTCAAACAATTAAAAATAAAATAAAATTAAAGTGAAGGTAGATCAAATCCCAAGTCATGAACTGGTAAAAGCCACCAATGTAATTTACTAGTTTTAATTTTTAATATGCTTAGTGTTTGGAAACAGGGTCATGCTATGCAGCATAGGTTAGACTAGAAGTCACTATATGGACCAGATTTGTATCAGAGTTGGTTTCCTGCTTTTACCTCCCAAGAACTAGGATTACAAATGTGCTTCCTGCTCAGGCAACTTGGTGTTTTTCAAAAAATATTGATAAGTTGATAAACTGGGAGTGATATATACAGACTGATAGAG